CACAAACAATCGATCAGAACAATAGCATAATGTGTGATATTATTATAGTTCGTTAAACCATTTGATAATTTATAAATTATAATGACTTAATCGAATCTATAGACTTATACTCTGTTGTACAAAAAAAAAACTATTTGACAAGTTACATACCTTGATTCTATGAATATTAGTTACAATAATTTATATTGATAAATGTGTCGAGTCCATGATGTTATAGCATTTGGTTATTGTAAACTGCAAGCCCGTGACTAATGAAATATACTTACATTTTAATTTGGAACTATTTGTTAGACCGTATATTGTTACGAACAATATTATTTCTCAAAAGCGATTTTTACAGCAACCAATAAATAATATCGAAAATATTATATTGGCATAATTTAATTTTTTTACTAACATTTGAATAATATTCCCCTACCAAATTACTAAAGCAAAAATTACTAATAGTAATATGTCATAAAATATCCTTAGTGAAAAAGGAAGAGATCATAGAGATTATAAGTATTTTTCGTATTGTCATTTAATTCAAATTTAACACATCCATTAAAGTGATCTACTCAATCATGAGATATTATCAAAATATACTGAATTGCAGAGGAATTTCCTTGATTTTTCATATTATTGTTATAATGTTTTTAATTATATTCATACGACTCAACTGCTACGATTATTGGAGTTTCGAACAAAAAATTACATTTGATGTTGTATAAAAATTATTTTTATGATGTACCATTTGTTATGATTACATTTGATAATAATCTATGTGTATACGATTTATCTCCTGGAACAGGTCATCTCTTTGAAAAATTATTATTATTTTTATATAGATATGAATTTAAAACAATACGTTATCATAATATTATAACACTTCAACTGCAAATGGTACAGGTAATAATATGTATTGTTTTATTAAATAGATACGATTAAATATGTACATTGCTACATAATACACATTAATAATATACTATGTTAAACGTTTGAATTATAATACTATACAATTTTATAGAGGTACCCTAATATAGCAGTATACATTTACTCATTTTACAATTATGATGTGAATATAATGTGGCCTACCAGCCTCATTTTAACTACCGGCCACATTTTTCAAAAAAGAGGTCGGGCCACGGCCCGACCTTAACATGGACTTCGGGGCCACTGATGTACAATATTCAGTCAATTTCTTTTTTACAAGTACCTATTTAATCATGATTGTGTTTGTATATGTAGGTATGATGTGATCGCTATTTATAGTACTTACATATTATTATAATATTATGTTCAAAAATGTTTTCAATTTTCACAGTAGTTGCCATAAGCACACCGTAATAATTTATATCTATATTAATATGGTCTAAAAACTTAAAACAAAAGTTGATCATTATCCTTAAATTTCAAGGTATAACCTACAATATAAAAATATATAAATTATATAACAAAAATAGAAACTAATAAGTATTTATAAAAACATTTTTCTGATTAGTTGCCTATTTAAATATTTTATCATTGCAAAGCCAATTATTTACCTACCTCCCTTCATCATTGAAATTAAATTTGTTTAACGATGAATAACGTAAAAAGTTCATAATATTTTTTTTGTGGTGCATATCGTGGTGTTCACGGATCGGTCATTATTCACTGATTTGTTACATGGCTCATTACTTGCAAAATATATTGAGCTATATTGTTATCGTTATATTATTACAGTAATAATAGTATTGTCATAAGAATAATAATAATTATAGCCAAGTAAAATAGTCTCATTTGCCTCATATAAACAATAATATATATACAAAAAATCGCTGTCGATTATTGTCGATATACCATTTAGTGTAATGCAAATAATATCATTCGAGTAATATTTACTCATTAGTATATAATTATTAACAAATAATACAGTACTACCTTCACATGACAGTTTAGACACATACAGTAATACAAATTATAAAATATTACATTTGTGATGGTGGAAAATAATTAAAATATATTATTATGTTGTATAATAAAAATAAAAATAATTAAAAACAAGTAACCTTTTGATTAAAATTAGGTCATTCTTATGGTTTGCTAGAAGAATTATGAAAATATCGTAACGTTGACCAAATTTTACAGTAATGGATACTACAATATATTCTGTATTATTTTTTTTTTATTTTTCTAAGACCAATAACATATTTTATACTACGTATTTTGTATTTAATTTAGATTAAGTAAATTGAATATTAGGTTTTTTTAAACATAACGATAAATATACCTACGTTGAAAGATTTAAATATTATATTTTTAATATTAAATTTAAATATCGATTAACTATAAAAATTTGATACAAATTGCACTTATAAATTAAAAATTAATCGTGTAATATGAAGGGGCTGCGTAGAGTTGTTGCCCTAGCACTAAAATGGAAATTACATGTTAACGAGTGATTTTAAAATTCTGAAAAAGAGTTTGCAAACTAATGCAATCTATTTGAACAATTTCGAAATCTATCGGATATTTTTGGGAGGACACCATGAAACAAATCCCACAGTTTAAATGAAATTTGGTACAGCTAAAATGTATGTTGACCTTGACATATGTTTAAAAATTGGTTTGAAAGAAATCATCGGACAACATGGAAAGTTGGTGCAATTTAGTGGATATTTTCTAGGGCACATTATTATTATTATTATAATTATTTTTCTAAATATGTTCTCAAGACATCGAGAGTGATATTATTTCGAATGTGTAAGTTTTGAGCAAGTAATGCTTTTATTTATTTGTAAGTTCGTCGACATAATAATATCTTGTACAACGATTCAGACAGCGCCTGACAAGTGCTGCAAATGGGCTGAAAGCAAAGTACAAGTCGTAGAAAATATTATAAAATGGAGAGTAAATTATGCAAAAAGACACATTTCATTTTTACACCGACGATAAAAATGATCGGAAATTGAAGATAACCATAAACGTCACAAACACGTATGGAAATAATATTATTATGCAACCGTCAGCGCATTATTATTATTATTATTTAGTTTCATTTTCTCTGGTAAAACCTTGTTGCGCGAGTTGGAGCTGTTACCCCATTTACGTAATAATATTGTTATACATGCACATTATAGTAAATAATAATAATATAGTCGAGAATATTATTAATGTGAATGGAAAGGAGAAAATCCATCGCCGGTACCTATACACATATGATATCTGGCGGGTGTTTAACGTCTGTCTCTGTGTACATAATACACCGTATTATTTCTTTTCTCGTTTATTATTTGAACGTATACACGATTCGTGGGGCTCGTCGCCTCCGATCGCTCAACAATGGATAAGGACGATGTGTGTGACTGTGGTAGGTACCTATACACACGTATAAACACACATAATACGCTGGTTTGTACACGTATCGTTGTACATTCAAATTCCTCTGAATTTACTGGGTCAGAGGAAAACCCTCATGTCTCGTTCAGATCGATAAAATCCTTTCTCTACTCTAGTTTTACTTTTTGTTATTACCCGTCCGGCGCGTTTTGTATAACCCCCTCGGCTGAGCTCTACAGTCTCTAAACCCTTTAGATCCAAATAATAACCTTTAAAACTTTATGTTTTGTGATATTATATCCGTATCCGTTCCCCGCACTATGGTTTCAATATAGCCAAAACTACATCAGCCGTTGTATTTATTTGAATATTTTAAAACGATAATAGTTCATTGAAATAAGATATATATATATAATATATAATATATATATATATATATGTATATAATATAATTATTATTATTTTATTATGTACCGCCGTTTCGTGTTCTCAATACGCCAATCGTTAGTAAATAATATAAATATTTGTTCATTTTGTGCAGTTTGATACGCATCGTATTGTATATTATATTCTGTATTTAATAAAGAAATTAATTAAATAACTTACTGCTGTTTGTATTTGGATTATTAACCAAAAATACTTTTAGCCGAGTCTGTAGTTAATTTCCATATATATTTTTATTTATAAGCTGGACGAAACTACTAAATGCAAAAGGTGTCACGCAAGTGGAGTTTAATTGAATATTCAATGGGTGACCGAACCTTTTTCGCCTCGGCCTGAAAATTCTAATTAATTTAGTTTGTTATTAATGTTTTCCTTCGAATTATTTTGTTTCGTACCATCTCGTCTTTATCTTTACAAGATAATTTTGCTGGAATCATACGTGTTAACTGATGATAGTAAATATGTTATAAAAGTAAATATTCATTGAATATCGAAGGATGAATACCTAATAGTATTATAATATAGTTATTAGACAGCTAGTTATTAGGTACTGTTATTATAAACTGTACACCATAGAGGTTATAACCTAAATACATATTTTAGAGGCTAAAATGTAGCCTTTAGGTGAAGTTTAAATATTTCGTTCAACCTTCAGCAGACCAAAAGCGCAATTCCATACATTTTTTGACTTTATAATGTTAATAATAAATAGGCTTCATTATTAAACAAAATAAAGAAGTAAATTAATAATTGTATTGTATGTTTAAATACAGATTTAAAATAATTTACAATTCATAGGTACCATAAAGTGATCTAATACCGATTTTATTATTATTTTTAATCTAAAGAATATTACATTAATTTTATAAAATGAAACAATTATTACACATCATTCACAATGATTACCTTTGTATCTATTCGTATATACAATATGCCATAGATGGTAGATATAAAGGTACACACTTTATCTGACGTATATAAAAATAATAATTACGAATTTGACGTGTACTCAGGTTTTAGTTATATTTACACTGAAAAATATTAGTCAAGTGTGATGTAAATTAACGAAAAAAAGAAAAAAAAACTGCTTGATTAAACAAAACATAATAAATTGCTTAATATCACCTGCAGCTAATTGTTTTCATGTATATAAGCCCACGGACATCACATGATTCGACACTTGGTGGTCAAGCCACAGTGGTATTGTATTATATGTTGATAAATTATACTAAATTTAAGTCCGACCATAATACACGATGAGTTCGAGTGCAGTTTTTTTGGTTTTGTCAATCGGGTTTACCGTAAGTAAAATACTATATAATTTATTAACAGCTTCTTATAGTTAAGTAAATTATTATTAGTAACGGTTTTCAGTAAAATAACTGCAGTTCATTTTATAACACAAAAAATAATCGTTTTCACTTAGGTCGTTAAGTATATTAATAACATTGAAAATAGGTACCTATGATTTCATAAATATCTGAATAAGTATTAAGTTTGATATTTTTTGATCTATAATATTGTATTGTAATGATAAATATTGAACTTACATCTAAAATGATATCTAAAATTTAGATTCTAAATTCTGTAATTTAAAATGATTTTTGGAATTTGTATTTATTTTTAAGTATATTCTAGAAAAATGATGACACATTATTATTTAATATAAATAATAAATGTACCTAGTTACCTACTCATATTATATAAAATATATAAGCACACAATATACATATTGTATAGTTAATGAATAATTAATATTGAAATCTTAAATGCAATTAAATAATAAAAATACGAATTACATTTTTTATTTAAGTTATGCAAAATATATTAAGCAAAATGACATACTTACATTAAATTTAAAATTTACGACAATGAAGTCTTATTTAAAATTCAAAACATTGTACAGGACTTTAAAATGTTTTATTTATTTTGAAACTTGTTATTTTTTGCGAAGTCGGATAACTCGTAAAAAATAATATAATAAGTGTTTTCAAATGTAGGTACCTATTGTATGTTTCGTTCATTTTCATAAAAAGAGCTATTTTTTAGGATTATAGAGGTATTTTAGATATAGTACAATTAATATAGTTAAATATTTAAACTATGATTAAATACAAATAAAAACTAATTCAAAATATTATACATTTTTTTTTTTATACTCAAACTTCTTAGATATAGAATTTATATTATTTTTCATCCAAATAATTTTTCTATGAATTCAGTATAGACTTACTATACCTTGAAAAAAAGATTCCTGAAGTATAGGTATTACTTTAATTTCAGCGATCCATAGATGAATACATTTATTAATATTTTTATTCGTAATTTATCATTGATGTGTACTCGAGAAGCGAATTGTAAGTCAAATTCATACGCTTCTTTATTGAAAATAATTTTGCATTAAATATTTTATACAAAACAATTACATCACAAAGTTATACGATTTAAATTAAAACATTATTATTTCGAAAGTTTTTGCTAGTTGAATAGCTCTCGTTGCACATTTAGAGATGACTGTAGTTGTGGTTGTGTGTTGGGTGAAAAGGGTTCGTATAATTGTAATTTGTCATGTTGTGAATGACAATGTGTCATGCAGAGTAAAAAAATGTGTGCTAAAATTATTTTAATATAAACTAATTTTACAAAAATAACAAGAATTTGAAAATAGTTGTGTGATACTTTATGAATGTATGATGCGATATTGATTAAACGAGATGCAATTATTACGTTATACCTACATTATACCTATAATTTGTTATCACATTGAGTAATTTTTTAATCATTAATAAATATTCAACGGTGAATCAATACTTACATACCATTTATTTGAGCTAATCAAAATTTTAACAGTTATATTTTAAATTAAATTGCATTTGTTATCACATTGAGTAATTTTTTAATCATTAATAAATATTCAACGGTGAATCAATACTTACATACTCATTTATTTGAGCTAATCAAAATTTTAACAGTTATATTTTAAATTAAATTGCATTAAACTAAAATTCACTTGAATATCTATCAAAATTGTAAGACTTTGTTTTTTACTATAGCAAAGTCAAGTGATGATATTTTTAATTAGTTAGGCATATCCCACTCACCACTGGTTAAAACACAGAAGAGTAATAAGCGCAAATTATCACTTGAAAAAAATACTCATTAGTTTGCGGTCGGTACCTATCTGGTGGTAATTTATAGCACGATGAATGCTAATATTTTTGAAAGATTACAAAAAGCCGATTATAGCAAATTTCCTGTAGAAAATTAGAAATAAAATAAAAAATGCAATGCATTAACCGGTCGTGATGGACGAAATAGAGGAAAAAAGGATACAGTACTACAGCTGTATCCTTTAAGGATTAATAAACATCCTGTGCATCTCAACACAACTTTCTTATGTAAACTCAAGAACTTTAGATTTCATTGTCTGAAACTTGCGGAGTTATCATATCCGTCAGCCAAATTATATTCACCGAACGGCTAAATTCAAAAGCACTTGCAAAAATGTTGTTAGTAATACAGCATAGGTAAAGCATCAAAGAATAAAACTCTCCATGATACTAGAGATGCTTATCATCATGATAAATGCAAAACTAATATTTAATATAATGTAATAAAAGTTTAAAGTCCACAAAAAAAAAAAAAAACGAATTGAATAAATTAAACTAATATTGTAAACCTAAGCATTACTAAAAAAAAAAATATGTTCGTTTATTCAATTATGGCATACCTATTGATATTTATATTATAATATTAGACTACAATAGTAGATACAGACTGTATTATGCTGAGTCGGACAATCGTTTCATTTTCACTCTTTACAAAAAAAAACAAAAAAAAAACAATAAGTAATATCATTCATAAAATTTTTATTTGAGCTAAAATCAAATATCCTTATAATTAATATATTAAATTATACACTATAATAATATATCATCAGATATCATATTTATATACAATTTACTATTGTATATGTTTATATTATTTATTAATATACTATATTACCTATATTTAATTCTTTATTTATTGAGGTATACATTATTTGTACATTAGCTAATGATATTTATAAAACAATACATTTAAATATTAGACTTTGATACTGACGTCTTAGATAAATTATTATATCTCAATTATAAAATAAAATCACGAAACATTATATTAATTTGTAGTTGGATATCACCAGAGCGACTTCATGAATGTTTTCACGATTCATATTTTTAAATAAAACGTTTTAAATTTATTTATAACAGCATATTGATATTCTTTAATTATCTCAATGAACTTATACTACAATAATTATAAACAGACAAATAGTGATATGATAGTGATACTTTATATTCAAAGACTTATTCATATTTAAATTGTAATTCTCTGTAGGTTGCATGTGGATTAGACTTGCTTAGACCAGTTAGACCTGATGGTATTTATCCAAATTTAGCAAGAAGAAGTGACATAATAATGTCACCAGATCGTTTGGCTACAATGCTAATAAATCGAAGGAATTTAATGAAACGAGATAGTACAATAAAATATATGACGATCCCAAAAATACCTGAAGTAAATCCTGTTGATCAAGTCGTTAATTCAGATTCTGTACCATCGTTAGTTAAACGATGTGTTTGTGTAAGTACCTAATATTACCATATATTATGTTATTATATAATATGTCAGAACGTTATTAGTAAAAGTTTTAGCTTATACATTTTTGTTGTAGTACGTAAGGGTTGTTTACTTGAAAAAAATACAAGGTTTTTTTTTGATGCATTAAAAAATAATATTTTACTATTTTTTTTTTTTTTATTATTAATACATATTTTTCTTATTTAACTATATTATATTGTAATGCATATTTAGAATAAAAAATGTACGTGCTCCGATTCACAAACAAATGTAGAAAATCGTGAAGTTGGGGTAAATATTTTTATAATATAATATTACGTAGTGTATATTCATAACAGATGACTATTCATTTTTTAATATTTATTTTGTATTTATTTAGGAAACAGAAATGATGGAATCTTCAACTAGCTCATCACAAAGCGAAATAAATGAAATGGTAAAAATAAAATTCTATTAGATAAAACTTTCACTATTATTATTGAAATATCATTTTTTTCACACTTTCAAAATATTTTGAATACCCAGTATGTCGGTTTTGATTTATAAGTTCAAATAATACGATATTTTACAATATAATAACAATGATTATAAAGAATATAATATTGGAGATGTGTTTAGGAAAAATTAGTTTAAAAAAAAACATAGCATTAGTGTTTTAATATTAATTTTTATTTATTCAGAATTCAGAAAAAAAGGAATCTTCATATTACTCATCACAAAGTGGATCTGAAGAAACTGGAAGTATGGATTCGGTAAGATAAATATTCGGACTTGCACATGTTCACCATTATTATTATAATGTTAATTATTATACTTTTAAAATAATTTGACTAATTTTAAGCAATTTATTACACATAGGTAACCTACCTATGGAGTATGTCGGTATTGGGTGTCTTATAAGTTATAACATAGAATAGTATAATATTATGATATATTAATATTATAATAATTATTAGGGATATAATATTTGTGATGTTTTTGGGAAAACAGTTCAACCTAGTATAGGTGATTTATTAAAAATTGAAAGAAATATCATAATAATATAAAATATATTAATATATTATAGGATATTTGTTTGAAATAGATGCTGCCCCACTTCCACCTCTCAGAATCTGTTTACTTACTTCTAGTTTCTACAATAGTTATTTTTTATCATTAAATTTGTATTTAACACATCCATTATAATAGTGATCTACTGGTGAATAACGCTTAAAGTCAACCTAATATACAGAATTCCTCCATTTTTTTTTTATCATATAAATAAAATATTTAACTTGTTTTGTTATGAAATACATATTTAGGGTACACGATCTATGTGCTCTGGTTCAAAAACCAATGCAGAAAACCGCGAGGTTGGGGTAATATTTTCATAAAATATAATGTAATATAAAGACACGTAATATTCATATTTTAATATTAAATTTGTATTTATTTAGAAAACAGAAAAAAATAAATCTTCATCTTGCTCATCAAACAGTGAAACTGATGGAATGGTAAAAAAGGAATCGGTAATACAAATTATTGAGCTTGAAACTCTGCACTTTTGTTATTATATTATTATTTTCTTTAATATTTTTATAATTATACGATATTTTTTACATGAACCTATTCACAATATAATCAGCAGTATGTTGGTTTTAACTAAGAAGTTAAAATACATAAATATTATATCATATTATAATAACCAAAAATATAATATTAGAGATGCTTATTGAAAAAAAAGTTTAACCTATAATAAATGTAATCTAAATAATTGAAAAAATTACTATAGTTATAAAAATATATTATAAAATAGCAATTTAACTAATTAAGTATATTATACTCTGGTCTCTGACACATTGTTTTAATTTAGAATCATTGTTGGTAGGTACTTATTAAAATTAATAGTATTATTTATCATTGAATTTATTTATATTTAACACATCCATTATAATAGTTATCTATTTAATGATAAAGAACACTTAAAATCAATTTACTATACAGCTTTCCTCCGTTCGGTAATATTACAATAATTATTATTAAAGTTATAATTTTTAAGTGGGCTTTGTAAAAAAAATGTTTACAAAAAACCTACATAATATTCAAGTTTTAATATAACTATTATATAATATTAATTTAGAAATCAGAAAAAAAGAAATCCTCATCTCGCTCATTAGACAATGAATCAGATGAAAAGGTAAAAAAGAATTCGGTAAAATAATTATTGGGACTTGAAAATATTCATCATCATTAATTTGATATTATTTAGTTAACACTTTCATAATACTTAATATTGGAGTTTTAATATTATTTTTGGGTTTATTTAGAAATCAGAAAAAAAAAAATCTTGTTCTTGCTCATCGGACAATGGATCTGACAAAAAGGGAAAAAAGGATTCGGTAAGATAATTATTGGGACTTGAAAATATTCATCATCATTAATTTAATATTATTTAGTTAACACTTTCAAAATACTTAATATTCGAGTTTTAATATTATTTTTGGGTTTATTTAGAAATCAGAAAAAAAGAAATCTTGTTCTTGCTCATCGGACAATGGATCTGACGAAAAGGGAAAAAAGAATTCGGTAAGATAATTATTGAGACTTTAAAATAATCACCATTATTAATATAATATTATTTTCTTAAATCTTAATACTATCAAAATAGTTTGACTAATTTTAAACTTTAAATAATTAAATATTATATTATTAATATTAATATAATTATTATTAAAATTATAATATTCAAGTAGGTTTTGTGAAACAATATTTTTACAAAAAACCTATATCATTTTCAAGTTTTAATATAAATTATATATTTATTTAGAAATCAGAAAAAAATAAATCCTCATCTCGCTCATTAGACAATGAATCTGAGGAAAAGGGAAAAAAAGATTCGGTAAAATAATTATTGTGAATTGAAAATATTCATCATCAATAATTTATTATTATTTTGTTAATACTTTCAAAATCCTTAATATTCGAGTTTTAATATTATTTTTGGGTTTGTTTAGAAATCAGAAAAAAAGAAATCTTGTTCTTGCTCATCGGACAATGGATCTGACGAAAAGGGAAAAAAGGATTCGGTAAGATATTTTTTGGGACTTGAAAATATTCATCATCATTGATTTAATATTATTTTGTTAGCACTTTCAAAATACTTAATATTCGAGTTTTAATATTATTTTTGGGTTTATTTAGAAATCAGAAAAAAAGAAATCTTGTTCTTGCTCATCGGACAATGGATCTGACGAAAAGGGAAAAAAGGATTCGGTAAGATACTTATTGGGACTTGAAAATGTTCAGCATTATTGTTATAATATTCTTTTCTTTACACGTTCGTGCTCTTTATTATATACACATATAAACAGTAATAAACGCTGTACGTCAGTTTTGATTTATAAGTTCAAATAAGTTAAATTAATATCATTTTCTATAGGTATTATTATGGTATTATAATAATAATTAAAAATATATTGTTTGAAATGGTTTTTTAGGATAAATAGTTTTAAAAAAAATAAATTATAATTTAGTGTGATTATTAATTTTTTATTCGTTTAGAAATCAGAAAAAAAGAAATCTTCATCTTGCTCATCTGACAGTGGATCGGTAGAAAAGGGAAAGAAGGATTCGGTAACAAAATTATCCAATCATAAATAATTAATTATAATTAAATATAAATAATTTATTCATTATTAATGCAATATTATTTTCCCAAACCTTTCAAAATAGTTCGATTGATATTACAAGCTATTTATCAAACTAAACTGTATACACTTTAACAAGCAGCATGTCGTTTTTGACTAATAAGTTAACATAATATTATATTACATTATTCATATTGAATCTAATAATAATTATTAATATTATTATATTTTTGTGGTTTTGGGGAAAATGATTTTACAAAATCCTACATTATATTCTAGTTTCAATATTACTTCTGTATTTATTTAGAAATCAGAAAAAAAGAAATCTTCATCTTGCTCATCAGACAATGGATCTGACGAAGAGGGAAAAAAGGATTCGGTAAGATAATTATTGGTACCATAAAAAGTTCACCATTATTGTTATAATTATCCTCTTTACATTTTCAAAATATTACGATCAATTTAAATACAATTTTAATTTTCAACACACTATTTAATACATAACATTATAATAAGCACTATGTTGGTTTTGACTATTAAGTTAAAATAATTAAACATTATATATTTATTATTATTATTTTTTTTTTTTTGGTCTTGAGCTGGCCACTGCGGCTATTAGCTATTGTAGGAATTACGGTTGGTAGGGTTGGAATGGTTGGTGCGTTTGATACGGTTTCTTAGCCACATGTCTGTGTGGCAAGCTTTTGCCACTAAGAAACTTGGTGGTCACCCATCCGAGAACTTGTGACTGCGGCCATTGCTTATTGCTTACTCTTAATCGCGTGGCGTGACTGATTATAGCCACACCAAGCAACAATATAATAATATATTGGTAGTATTCTAATAATTGTTATTAAGTTTATAATATTTGAATGGTTTTTAGGAAAAATTATTTTACAAAAAACATACAGAATACTAAAGTTTTAATATTACTTTAATATTATTTAGAAATTAGAAAAAAAGAAATGTTCATCTCGATCATCAGATAATGGATCTGACGAAAAAGGAAAAAATGATTCGGTAAGATAATTAATGGGACTTAGTGAAGTTTCGTTACAAAAATATACATAATATTAGTTTAAAAATTATTTTTTTTTTAGAAATCAGAAAAAAAGAAATCTTCATCTTGCTCTTCTGACAGTGGATCTGTAGAAAAGGGAAAAAAGGATTCGGTAAGATGGTTATTGGGACTCTGAATTGATTTGTAATCCAATTAAATTAAACCATGTAACCATGGAACTAAGTTAATTTTGCAATAAATGGTAGTCAGTTATCTATCTACTCGACTAATGATTTTAAACTCACCTGCAAACATGAGGAACTTGCTAGACTGCAAAAGGGAAACAAATTTTTAATCCCATTAATAAATAGTGAAAAAATCATAGGGGACAAGACCTCCTTGTAGAACACCCGAAGATATTTTGATGACATTTTATTTGTGGCAAAAATCTTTAATCCATTGTGCTTGATAAATACGATTTGATCCAAGAAAAAACAGGCTGTCCAAATCCCGACTTGTAAAAAATATCCACTTGAGAATGGTGATCGGCTCTATCAAAAGATTCAGTAAAGTCCGTGAATATGACTTCGACATGAGAGTGTTTCTCAAAAGCTTTGAGAATGATAGCTGTTAAATACAATTAAGTTTGACACAGCTGAGTGACCGGGTCTGAACCATATTGTTGCGATCAATATATTAGTAACCGGTAGTCGGTAGTTAGATATTTTTAGCATGTCATTTAAATAATTTAAAGATTTTTTTTCACATAGTTGTTCTAATACTCCTCCGAATGATTTATTATTTCCAATTGTATTGTTACCAAAAAAAATTGCAAATCCTGTTCTGTTGTCTTGTCCTGCCGCAATTTTATTCGTAATTTCAGTAACTGAACTGTAATCCGTTTTTATGTTTGAAATATACCTTTCATGTATCTGTTATTTACATACATGTACCGGCTATATAATCATTTACGCTCTCTGTTGTAAATAAAGACTGACCGAAATATTATAAACTACAAATTAATATAGATATTTTTACATAGGTACACAATTTTAGTATGAAATACATTTGAGTTGTATGGAAAACACCAATCACTATATTTTTATACCATGAGTCACGACTAGCTGAATTATAAAAAGCGTTATCAAAAAAATGTAGTTCATGTTTTGTATTACTAAACGATAAATGTAAAATATATTATGTATTGTCTTTATGACATTATTTAATATCGAAATACGCCGATATACGTAGCACCTCATTTTAGGTGTGCTTATTTTTTACCCTGGAGAAGTCAGGTGATAGAGCTAGACACTATAGTGGCTAGTAATAGTATAAAGAAAGTATTATAGTACAAATTATTAATAACATAATATTTAAGATGATTTTAGGAAATATTCGTTAAAAAATACCATACCATAATAGACATTGTGTATTTATTTAGAAATCAGAAAAAAAGAAATCTTCATCTTGCTCATCAGACAATGGATCTGACGAAAAAGGAAAAAAGGATTCGGTAAGATAATAATATTATCCAATTATTAATAATTAATAATTATGAAATATTAATAATTTATTCATCATATTATTAATATAATATTATTTTCCTAAATAACTAAAATAACCTAAAACTTTCAAAATTGTTCGATTAATATTATACACGCTATTTATCACACGAATCTGTTTACACTTTTTTTACAAGGAGCATGTCGTATTTGACTCATAAGTTATAATAATAATATTAAAATGGTCGTATTGTAATAATAATTAAGAATATTATAATATTTGTGTGGTTGTCGGAAATTTTTTTTACAAAAAAATTCTTAATATTCAGTTTTAATATTAATTTTGTATTTATTTAGAAAACAGACAAAAATAAATCTTCATCTTGCTCATCGGGCAATGGATCTGACGAAAAGGGAAAAAAGGATTCGGTAAGTTGATTTTTGGGACTTGAAACGTTTCCACATTATTATTATTGTTTTCTTTGAATTTTCGTTAAATTTTTATACTTCAAGAAAAATTGTATAAATATATTCACACGTTTACTCGAAGATAGTCGGTTTTGACTTGCCTAAAAGTTAAAATACGATAAAATAATATTATATTCTATAGTACCTACCTACTATTATAATTAAAAATATAATATAAGAGATATTTTTGGACGAATTACTTCAACCTACTTACCGTTTTACTAATAGACAGAGTAGTAACAATAATATAAATAAATTATAAAATTTTCTTTGAAATATACCGCGACACAATATGCCCTCTCAGAATAGTTTTTCTTACCTATATTTACAATAATTTATTATTTAGCATTGACCATAATGATTATACTCAACACATTTATCACATTTATTTATGATAATAGTGATCTACTTAATTGGCATTTAGTGAAGTATATTCACAATAAACCTAGAATACAGACATCATCCTTTTTTAATCATATAAATACATATTTATAAAGGCATGTATGTGCTCCGATTCAAAAACAAATGTAGAAAAACGTGAAGATGGAGTAAATGTTTTTCAAAATCTATTATATACCTAGTATAAACTTACATAGTATTCATGTTTTAATGTTAAATTTGTATTTATTTAGAAATCAGAAAAAAAGAAGTCTTCATCTTGCTCATCACACAGCAAATCTGATGAAAAGGGAAAAAAGGATTCGGTAAGATAATAAATTAATAGGGCTGGACACTTTTCGCCATTGTTATTATTTTATTATTTACCATTTATTTTCAAAATATTTCGACTAATTTCAAGCTGTTCACCATACACAAACCTTCTCACACTATATGCAGTATGTCAGTATTGACTTAAAAGTTAAAATAACGTAATACTTATTATATTGGTAGTATTATAATAATAACGATAAAGATTAATAATATTTGGGTAGTTTTTGTGAAAAATTATTTTACAAAAAAGTATATAGGTACATTATATTCGACTTTTAATATTACTTATGTATTTATTTAGAAATCAGATAAAAAGAAATCCTCATGTAGCTCGTCAGAAAATGGATCAGACGAAAGGGGAAAAAACGATTCTGTAAGATAATTATTGTAGCTCTAAAATATTGACCAATATTTGTCATTTGATTTATATGCAATCAACGAATTTAGTATAGTGATCTACCTAATGGTCAAAATCAACCTACCATACAGATTTCTCCCGTTTTTTCAAAAACATTTTAATACATATTTAACTTTTTTTATTATGTGATACATAATATTTAGGGTAAGAAATGCAAGTGCTCTGATTCAAAAACAAATGTAGAAAATCGTGAAGTTGGGGTAAATGTTTTCACAATCTATTATCTAGAATAAACATACTTTATAGTATTCATGCTTATTAATATTAAATTTGTATTTATTTAGAAACAAGAAAAAAAGAAATCTTCATCTTGCTCATCACACAGTGGATCTGAAAAAACGGGAAAAAATGATTCGGTAAGATAATTATTGGGACTTCAGACTATTCACCACTAATAATATTTTATTATTTTCCATTAATTTTCAAAATACTTTGACTACCCTATTGTAAGCTATTTATAAAACGAACCTTTAACACTATTATACGCAGTATGACGTTTTTGACCTATAAGTTAAAATAATATAATATTATATTATTATTCAGTGTTGTAATAATAATTATCAGGAATATAATATTTGAGTGGTTTTTGGGAAAAATTTGTTTAAAAATTCATATAGTGTTCGAGTTTTAATATAATTTTGTATTTATTTAGAAATCAGAAAAAAAGAAATCTTCATCTTGCTTATCACGCGGTGGAACTGATGAAATGGTAACAGGGAATTCGATGAAACAATTACATAATATTAACTACATTGCATTCGTATATAATTCAATATACCTACATAATATGCAAACAAATTATTATTGTGGATTGATTTACTAATTAGTACTTTTTTTTATTGTAAACAGAGCTCTAATTCAGACTCAGGAGAAGAAAACGATCAAATGAAGGTACAATATTTATAAGATTAATAATTAAAATGTAACCGCGCTTCTTTGTCTACCGATATCGTATTTATTTAGAAACTAAAGAAAAACCAATCATTAATGTCGTCTTGCAATGATAATATAAGAGAGGAAATTAATATTAAAAAAAAAAGAAATTTCTATATAAACTATATTTAATATAGTTTTAATAACTTACATATATATATTTTTTTTTTGTTTAATTAATATTATTTCAACGATCTTTTATTCCACGAAATTGTTTCCTTCAAAAAGTTGGGGTCAGGAATGGAATACTTTTTAGGTGTAGACAATTAAAATGTTTATCTTGTATATTATATAAAAGTATTGTTGTTTAAGAATAATTTAATCTGTGAGTATTATTACTGTTGGAATTACGTTTTTAGGGAAATACACGTACATATTCGGAGTCAAATACTGAAGAAGAGAACCGTGGAATCATGGTGAATATTTTACATTCTAGACTTGAAAAAAACACAATTTTATTATTTGTGTAAAAATTATTTCTTTAGAAAAATGAAAATAAAAAATCATCGAAGTCATCGCGCAATGAAAACTGCAAATGTGGAACAAACGAATCGGTAAATAATATTATTTTTATTTTATTTTGACGATAGTCTGTAGTTATTTTATTGAACAGATACAAAATAATAGCCGTTAATTCTATTTTAATAAAACGATCTGTAAATAATGTTCAACATTAATTAATAACTCTAAATGTATTGATGTTATTTTAATCTATTAGAAATTAATTAAAAATAGGTAGGTATAGGTACTTGATGTATACTTCCTATTTTTATTCTATTATGTTTGTTAGAGTATTGGCCGGAGTTATTCTGACCAAGAAAACCGTGAAATTATGGTAATCATTATAGTTTTTTGAAAAAAACATGACTTATTTATATAATAGTTTTATTGTATTGATCAAACATATTTATTTGATTAGAAAAAAGAAAACAATAAAAACTCATCTTCATTAACACGCAGTGAAAGTGGTGTATCTGGAATACGCAAATCGGTAAATAATCAATTTTTATAAATACAATGATAATAATATGCCATAGCAAGATTTTTGACTATTAAAGTTATGTCATCCATCATCATTCTTTTTCTAGTAAAAGTGCTCTAAAAGTCATATTAGGTTATTAACTAATTTATGGATTGACAATGTTTTATCGAAGTGCTATTATATGCTTATTTATTTCAATAATACATTTTTCTATTATTTTTTAAAATAAATAAAATGACAAATCGTCATCTTCTACTTATGTCAATTTCCGGAAGTGGTAAAGAGGGAATTAAGAAATTGGTAAATACGAATTCGACATATTATTCTTACTTTAACATTTTGAATATGTAGTTCTGCCCGAATTGCGATTTCTCTAAAAGAACGTGAAATGTTTGCTTTATGCATTATAAATATTAAATATATAAAAATAGTTCAACTTCGCGTAAACATTATTATTCAAAGTATAGGTACATAAATCGTTTTAATTATTATTCGTATAAAATATAATATTTCTCTTACATATATTTAGAAAAATCAACAAAATAATTATTCTGAGACGGATACTGACGAACAAGACAATGCATTGATGGTGAATAATAATACAATACACATCAAATAAGTTGAATACTATATTGTAATCTTTGTAGTAACAATTTTTATTAATTCAGGTAAATGAAAAAAACAAATCTTCATCTTCATTATCACACGGCGGACGCGGTCAAAATGGAATTAACAAATCGGTAAATAACGTTTGATGACTGACTTAATATTTTCTTCTAATATTTTTTAATGTTTTTCTAAGTTAATTAAAGTTAAATACAAAACATATATTAGTTAATAATGATAACCCATAATGTATAGGAATTTATTTTAACAAGGAAGTGTTCTTAACTATACTTCGAATGCATAATATGGAATATAATGAGATGCCTATTTTTTTTAGGGTAACCAATATAGTACATTTGAATCCGAAACAAATGATGAATCTAGGCAAATGATGGTAAATAATATGTTTTTTTCTAATACCTCTTAAATAAGTAAAATAATTTATTAATGATCAATTTGTTTTTATATACTATTTAGGATAGGAAAAATAACAAGTCGTCATCATCTTCAATGACACGCGGCGAAAGTAGTCATAATGGAAAAAACATGTCGGTAAATACAATTTGATGACTGTCATATTTTCTTCTAATATTTTTTTTAATATATTTTAAGTTATTTAATATTGAATATACAATATGTACATTAATTAATAATGTAATATGCAACTATACATATCCACTATGCATAATAGAATGGGATATTTTAATTCAATTTATTTTTTTTTTAGGGTAGCCAATATAGTACATATGAATCAGAAACAGATGATGCAATTAGGCAAACGATGGTAAATAATATTTATTTTTTTTTAAATAGGTACCTCTTAAATGAGTTAATAAATTTATTAATGAACAACTGGTCTTTATTTATTATTTATAGGACAAGAAAAATAATAAATCGTCATCTTCGATGACACGTTATGGAAGTGGTAACGAAGAAATAAATAATTCGGTAAATACGTTTACTTTTATCATTTGCTTTACATTTTTAAAATTTCGCCCTGTCAAAATAATAAACAAATTTTCTTAAAAAATGTATAGTGGATGTTTGATTTTATATGAAATATGTATTATACATATTGCACAATAAAACAATTGTTGCATTTTTCGTAAAAGTATTATTCAGAGTTTACCTAAAAAACTATAATTATTATTTTATATCTATTAAATATATTTCTTATACACATTTCTAGTATAATCAAGAAAATAACTATTCTGAGTTGGACAATGAGCAACAAGACAATGAAATTACGGTGAATACTATAGTACAATGGACATTAAATAAACCCAATATTATATTGTAATTTTTGTAGTAACATAATTGTATTTATTTAGTCCAATAGAAAAGGGGATACTTCATCTTCATCGTCACGTTGTGGATGTGGCAAAAATGCAGTAAACCAATCGGTAAATAATATTGGATGACCAAATTATTATTTTTAGCTTTTATTAATTTAAATTTGTTTGATTTAAGTTTATAAAACAAATAAACATGAATATATTTTAATATTAGGTACTAAAATTGAAGTTATTTTATAATAATATTATAGTATACGCATGTTTAGCATTAAAAATGGATTCAAATTAATTTGAAATTATGTTAAATACCTACAATAAATTTGTAAAAACATTTCAAATTAAAATTAAATTAAACAAAACATATTATTTATATAATAAATATATTATTGTATTTTACTATTTAATATTCTAATTCATATTATATTATTATTAGGGGTTAGAATATAGTAGTTCTGAATCAGAAGTAGATGAAGAAATGACAGAATCAATGGTGAATACTGCACAAAATACTAATTGTACTATTTTTCTTATTTTAAATTTGTCCATTTTATTGCTTTTAGAAGAAGCAACGAAATGAATCATCTTTGACTTCGTCGTCAGTAAGTAATAGTATACTTAGTGAGAAGTGACTAAATACTATAAAATAAAAAATATATAGTATGTGAAATAAGAATGGTGGATACACCTTATTTTAATAATGTTACTAAATAACCACAAAAATAAATTTCCACAAAATAAATAATTGTATACGAGTTAGTTAGGTATTAGTATTTATTACTTAAAGGTACCCACATTTAAAATTTAAAATTTAAATAGAATAGTATAATGTTTATTGATTTTTTTTATTTTGAAATTGTGTAAAATTTGAAATTTATTTTTTTATTGTGAAGGGTTATCAACGAAGCATCGCAGAGTCAAATGCTGCACGTGGAGAATCAAACAAAATTATGGTAATTATAATTGAAATTACTTTGCATAAAGAATAAAACATTTACACTATGTTAGGTACTATGTTCCTAAAATGTCGATATCCCGTGTTCTTTTTTGCTTTAAATCATAATTTTTAATTTTCTAGAAAAAGGAACGATCCTCGGCGTCTTTATCGTACAGCCAAGGAGGTGAAAATGCAATGGAAAAAGCGGTAAATTACAATATTTTTTTACCATAATTTATTAACATCGCTTGAATACATTATTTATATTTTTGGAATAAAAAATAAAAACTAAAACCGTTTTTATTTATTTTAAAACACTGTAAAAAAATAACGATAATTAATTAACATTTTTATTAGGATTTGTGGAAACACAATTTTAATTCATAAGTTATTCGTGAAAATGTTTAAAAGAGAAACAGAAATGTATTTAAAAATACATAATAAAGTGAGCCACTATAAAGTGCCTTATTATTTATAGTATATGCTCATAAATTAACATTGTATCATTCAATGTCTAAAATATTATATTATATCTACATTTACTTTGTTTGAGTTAACACTCAGATATTTATTGTAGTAAGAATAATAATTTATACTAACATTCATGAATAAACAATAAATTAATCATACAAAGTGAATATATATTTATATTGTATACACACACAGTATGTCCCAAAGGTTCCCGTTCCCCCTATGCATCTATGTGTAAAATCAATGATATATTTAAATGTGGGTTTTTCAACAGTAATCTATAGAAAATATTCAACTTGATATCATAAATAATTCCAAAAAAAAAATAAAAATTTTATACAATTCAATTTTTGAAATTTTCGAAGTATTCTTTTATACATTATAGAATGAGGGATTCAACGAATGTATTATTAGTTTGGCAGTGATATGTGTGTGTGGTAATTTTTAGTGATTGTGATCACGATATGGAGTTGAAAAATCTTAATTATTCAAATTTAAGGGTGGAATATCTAGTTGTTATTTTGAGAGTAATAGTTGAAAAATTCTCAGTACTTCTATAGACAATATGATAATACTAACATCAAAACACTAGTTTTTGACCAAATATAAAATATTTCAAATTTTTTTAAATTTTTTTATTTAACTATACTTCTATTAGGTATATTATATTTTGTGAAACTTTGCATTAAACTATATGTTTGTAAGACATATGAAAATAAATTTGGAACCGTATATAGAATATTATTAGGTATGCGGTTAAAGAAGATTATAAATACTTAAAAATAAATAATATTTGTATTTTTAACATATTATATTCATATAGATATTAATCGAGTCTTTTATTTAGAAAATGGAAAAATCGAAATCTTCTTCTACTCGCATCTCAGAAGGTAAAAAGGAAATGAACATAGCGGTAAATAATATTATTTTTGTCATTTCATAATATTATAATACATTTTATTAATCGTAATTTAACCAAATGCTTATTATTTTTTTTAAGACCCAAAAATCAGAATCGAATCAGATTGAACGCAATTTGGTAAGCAGTTAAATTTAAATTTATAATTCAGTTGAAATGTACTTAACAAAAGTTTATCTTATACCTTGTAGAATTATAGCAAAAATGATAGTCAAGAAGAAGAGGAAGACTACTCCAAATGCGACTGTCAATAAATTACTGTAAAGTGCAGTAGTGTCTAATATTATAATATTATGTTACTATTGAATATTATATTTGTCAGTATCTTATAAGAGTCAATACAATTTTAAATATAATTTATCTTAATCTAAACTAATATCTGTGTTAAATTTATTTTGTGCGTTACTATGGTACCTAAAAAAGTAAAAGGTTATATTTTAAATCATATAATAACACTTTATACTCTGATATTTAAGGTCGTTAGTGTATAGTTAGGTCTATTATAGGTAACTATAAAGTATAGATAACACTATACCTATAGGTATCTATAGCGTATAGGCAGGTACAATATATATTGGAAGTATTATAATTTAAAATTGTATGAATTAGTTCAGTAGTTTGTAAAAATTATTTCGATTAATTTGGCACAAAAATAGTTGGTTTAATAGTGAAACGACCCATAAGTCATATTTAAAACAGCTGTTTGGGGGCTAAAGGTGTAAGTTGGATTAGGTTAGCTAAAATGTTCAATATCTTACATTTTTTTTATTTTATACTCTATCATAACTCATAAGAAAGATAATAATATCAAATAATAATTTACTGAGCTACACGCAGGGTCGTACCATAGATGATTGTATATGGGGGGGGGGGGAGTTGAAAGGGGTCCAACACTAAAGATTGATCCTGGACAACTTGTTTTTGTTACCTTGTTGGAGTCATTTCATCTTTAAGCCGTTAAAATGTTTTTAATATATAAGTAAATAACAAATTCAAATTGTAATACTATAATAATTATGAAAAAAATACTCATTACCATTAATTAGGTATAAAACAAGGTGGACACGTTTTATCAACCAGTCTGCTGTACAGTAGGTGTCTAAACGGGTCACCCAGGAGTCGTGATCAGGGGTGGAATTTCGATCTTTAGAGGAATATTGGGCGATCGTATTAAAAAATAATTTTAGCAATAACCGTTGATGACGTGAGCAATCATAAAATGTAAGACTCAAACACACTTTTATGCTTTATATAGATACAAAGTTTTTTTTTTTTTTTTTTTTTTTTTTTTGAATTAAGAAAATTTAACAATCTGTACTCATGGTACAATAAGCTTAAAAGATATTTGAATACAATAGTAATAGAATTAATACAAACAAAAAAATGCGGCAGCATTCATTTATATGTAATGCTATTCTTATTTAACATGAAAATCGTGAATTGAAGAGACTGTCCAGCAACAGCACTTCGGCGAGAATTTTTTTTTTTTTTTTTTTTTTTTTTTTTTTTTTTTTTTTAAAGTTTAACGTATAGTCCTGTGTATTATGCTAACCAGTCTCTGGGCCACTTACGCTGGAGTCTCCTTACCGTGTTACCCGGAAGGGAGTGTGATGAAAGAACTTTGATGAGGGGATTGGTGTGGTTTTGTAGTCTGTTGTGGAATTTAAGGTAGTGATTTTTTGCAGCTTCTTTGACATACGGTAGATACAAAGTAAAGACAATATTAGCGAAGAATAACACAATACATTTTTCTATGGAGAAATAAAAAATACTATTAAGCTGCATGTAAAAATAAAAATTATATACTTATAACCCTCAACAAATATAGTAAAGTTGTCGATCACCAGGTATATACAAATTGTATGTAGCCCACTTATTGGACAATTTTGGTAAATACATTTTGTCATCGTTTTAACTTCATATGCTTATTAAAAAAACCATATTGATGTATTTCCGATATTTTTAAATTGGTATATGAACAATTGTTGAGGAACTTCATATTGAATCATCAAACTTTTGCTGACATTTATGGAAAAAAAAAAAAAAAATTTGAAGTGTCCATAAATAGTTCAAAAAAGTCAAAATATTTTGAAAACTTATCCTGTATGGAAAATTATCATTTAAACATATATTTTGGTAAACATATCTATTATCTAAGGTCATTCGTTTTTGATTTACTTCAATAGAAACAATTGTCTATAACAGGTTTTGCATCGAAATTCCTGTTATTTCTTAATTTTTCTTTTGTTGCTCGAAATTTTTTAAAATTTTTTTTACTAAATTATTGTGTTCTCTATAAAAATAATTGAAAATGTAGACCATTTTCTTGAATATTCATACAAAATACAATTAATTATGTTTAAAATGTTGAGAGTAAAATTTCTATTTGAATCATTATAGTTAAGATATTTAGGTATAGTTAATATCCTCGTAAATATGGATGACTTCGAAAGTTGAATAGTTTGATAATTAATTATGTTATAAAGAAATAGTTTGTTTATCGAAGAATTGGTGGATGGTGTTTACACGATATGTCAAGCCACCTATTATATAACTTAATGGTAAGAACGTTATCTGTGTTTGTACACCTACCTACTTGGTTTATTTAAAATTTAAACATTTTTAATAAAGCTATTACTTTTTGGTAGCTCCACCCGTTTTTTAAGAGAGGTAATAAAATAAACACACTAGTTAGATAAAATTTTCTACCAGAAACTAACCTCATTGGTGAATATAGTTGTATTTTTTCTTATCTAAAACAGGAAGATAAACACACAAAAAATCATTGCATATCATTTTATAAGTAACATGCTACTAGATATTTTTCATCTCAAAGGAAAATTGACTAGAAACAAAAGTTATACCCGGCCGAAAATCATAATATCTTGTTAAAAAAAAACGTAATATTGAAAGGCAATTTAAATTGTTACTCTCAAAAATTCGATGAGTTTCATATTAAATTTGTATTTTGATTATTGTGGATAAAGACTATATAGGTATCTCATTTTTGGAAGAAAATTGTCATGTTTGGTTTTGGTAACTATTCAAATATATTATAATGTAATTTTTTTAAATTTTATTTTACTATTAAATACATTTAAAATTTTAAAATATAATAGGTACCTTACAAATATATCTTAATTACCGTAAAAATATAAAATGTAAGCATACATCGAAAATTGATACTTAATAAATATATTTTATTCAAACTAACAATTTGAGAAACGACAAAAACTAAGTTTTGCTTTTAGAATCATTCTATATGAACGCTATGATTTATGGTTGCTATCAAATTTGAAATAGCAACACAACATAATATTGTACCAAGGTGAGTGAACCGAGACGAGTGCAAATAAGCACTCACGTGTCATATCGGTTTTAAAAATGTCATAATACATTTTAATAAAGTACAATACAATACAATAATACACACCTCAAAAAAATATGGTACATTAATTTACTTTTCAAATATTTTATCATGTTTTATTATCCCTATTTTTGAATAATATTTTAAATATTTAAATTAGTTTAACATTAAAGTACAAGCATTTTCAATATTTTTCAACTACAAAAATATTATATTAGGAGCCTTGTATTAAATGTTCAACCTTTTTTAACCAACGACTAAAATTTTATTGACATTAATGGAAAAAACACCTAAAAAAATTTGAATCTGAAAATGTCCTTAAACAGCTCAAAACAAGTCAAAATATTTTGAATGTTTTGTGGTGTATAAAAAATGGTGAAATCAACATTCAGTTAAAATTGCATGAATCTACTGTCATATGTTTTAGACTTACACCAAAAACCAAAATCGATTCTGCCTAAAAATTCCAATTTTTGGTTAATTTTTTTTCTTTTTTTCGGCGCTTTTGAAAACTACTAGGAATATGTGAAATATGTTAAAAATGTCTCAAATATGCACTTTTCCTAAAATATGACGGAATATGTGAATTCAAACTTTGTATTTAATATCGGCATTTCATAGAACAAATTTTTAAAACTTATCTATACATATATAGAATAATCTACGACCGCTACAAATAAACATGGCAATGCAAGAAGTCCTCCTTACCCTACATAATAATATGAGTTGTGAAAGTTAAGAATTAATAATTATATTAATCCATTCTGTTGGGGGGGGGGGATTTCGAGACCTGGGGAACCATGCGAATCGGTGAGCCGCGAGCCGATGCCATCAATGTCTAAGCGATTCCGAGCTCGTTCGGGCCTGACGTGTCGCCCTTGTTCATTTGTATCATCGTTTCGATCGTGTTCGGTCCGACTGTCACCGTCGAAGCTCCGTTCGCCATTTTACGGCCGACAACGCCATATATATATATAGTGTGTGCGTACCGATAGTGCTGTCCGATACACTTCGACGTTTCGTGTTTTGAGCTCCATCCGATCGGGTGTGCCGCCTGTCGTACACAGCAGACTGCCAAGTCCTTTCCGGTCTAACCGTAAAAATTAGTAACGTCATCGTAAATCGACGTCGTAATTTAATATCTGGATAGCGAATTTCGTCATTACACAAGCTCGAGTTCGCGACAAACGTTCCACTCGGCTCGCGCCACCGTCAACTTTCCCAGCGGGCGACGACGTCATCACCTCCAGCGGCTTCGCTGCAACTTCACAGAGGTCAAGGCAACCCCATAACTCCCCCCCCCCCAAATGTTTAAAAGTAGAACAAGAGTTTTTATATTATTGTTAAGGTAAAAATGACAAGTGTTCATGTGAAAAATAATTTTGTCAATCCTTCGACATTTTTTTTTAGTTACGGTCTTACGGCCTAACCAGATCATTATTATTCCATTAATCTATTAATCGTTATTCGTTACGAATAATCATCATATTTTTTTGAAACACAATATATAGGTATATTATTTGGGTATGTACTTATTGTTTGTATATTGTTTTATATTACGATGCATTATAATATAATACTGTTGTTTAAAACTCTCTCCTCTTTTTATCTTTTCAAAAGGTTTCGTGTGCAGCCGGGTCGCACAGTACTTATATTAAAATAATTATATCATACCAATCCCGTCATTATCGTACACTTTTTCATAATTTAATATTATACTTACAAAATAAACTGTATTTGCAAACGACGGCTTGATTTTAGAATTTTTAATTTTGTCTTGAATAATGATTACAATATGTATTCATATATTTACCTGTAAAAAAAAAACAAAAAAATAAATTATTAGTTATTACATACCAAAATAATTAACAGATTACATTATACATT